ATAGTGACTGTTGTATTCTGCTACTTTTCCTATCCACTCTCCCCTCCCCTCCCATCTTCGCTCTCTACCTCATCTGCTATTGTTCAATTCTCTCCCTTGTTTCCCCACCCCCTTTCCCCTCACAACCTCTTATATGTAATTTTGTGTAACATTGAGGGTCTCCTACCATTTCCATATGCTTTCCCTTCTCTCTCCCTTTCTCTCCCCCCACTCGTCTTTGTTTAATGTTAATCTTTTCCTCATGCTCTTCCTCCCTGTTCTGTTCTTAGTTGCTCTCTTTATATCAAAGAAGACATTTGGCATTTGTTTTTTAAGGATTGGCTAGCTTCGCTTAGCATAATCTGCTCTAATGCCATCCATTTCCCTGCAAATTCTATAATTTAATTAAGCTTCAGATTTGACAATGAAATTAAAATCTTTCACGATAAACAAAAGCTAAAAGAATTCGCAGCCAGAAAACCAGCTCTACAAAGCATTTGGAGCAAAATACTACAAGAAGAGGAATTGAAAAATAGTGCCCAAAACTAACAGCGGGAGGTATCTCAGTAAAGAGGGAGGAAAATAATCGAAGAGGAAAAACTAGCCAAACTAAAATAAATAAATAAATAAACATGACTGGAAGTACAAATCTTATTTCAATTATAACCTTAAATGTTAATGGCCTAAACTCACCAATCAAGAGACATAGGCTAGTAACCTGGATCAAAAAAACAAATCCAACAATATGCTGCCTTCAGGAGACTCATATGATAGGAAAAGACATACACAGGCTGAAGGTAAAAGGTTGGGAAAAATCATACCACTCACATGGCCCTCAGAAGCAAGCAGGAGTGGCCATACTCATATCGAATAAAATCAACTTCAAACCTAAGTTAATCAAAAGGGATAAAGAAGGACACTATATACTGTTAAAAGGAACCATCCACCAACAAGACATAACAATTATCAATTTATATGCACCAAACAATGGAGCTGCAACGTTCATAAAACAAACTCTCCTCAAGTTCAAGAGTCAAATAGACTACAACACAATAATTATGGGTGACTTCAACACACCACTCTCGCCATTAGACAGATCCTCTAGACAAAAACTGAATAAAGAAACTATAGAACTCAACAGCACAATCAATAACCTAGACTTAACCGACATATATAGAATATATCAACCATCATCAAGTGGATACACGTTCTTCTCAGCAGCACATGGATCCTACTCAAAGATAGACCATATATTATGCCATAGGGTAACTCTTAGTAAATATAAAGGCGTGGAGATAATACCATGCACCATATCTGATCATAATGGAATGAAACTGGAAATCAATGATAAAAGAAGGAAGGAAAAATCCTACATCACATGGAAAATGAACAATATGCTACTGAATGATCAATGGGTTACAGAAGACATAAAGGAGGAGATAAAAAAATTCTTAGAGACAAATGACAATACAGACACAACATACCGGAATCTATGGGACACAATGAAAGAAGTTTTAAGAGGGAAATTCATTTCTTGGAGTTCTTTCCTCAAAAAAAGAAAAAAAACAACAAATAAATAAACTCACACTACACCTCAAAAACCTAGAAAAGGAAGAGCAAAACAACAGCAAATGTAGTAGAAGACAAGAAATAATTAAAATTAGAGCAGAAATCAACGAAATTGAAAGAAAAAAAAAAACCATTGAAAAAATTGATAAAACTAAAAGTTGGTTCTTTGAAAAAATAAATAAGATTGACAGGCCCTTAGCCATGCTAACGAAGAGAAGAAGAGAGAGAACTCAAATTACTAACATACGGGATGAAAAAGGCAGTATCACAACAGACACTACAGAAATACAGAAGATAATTAGAAAGTATTTTGAAACCCTATATTCCAATAAAATAGAAGATAGTGAAGATATCGATAAATTTCTTAAGTCATACGATCTGCCCAGATTGAGTCAGGAAGACACACACAATTTAAACAGACCAATAACAAAGGAAGAAATAGAAGAAGCCATCAAAAGACTACCAACCAAAAAAAGCCCTGGACCGGATGGGTATACAGTGGAGTTCTACAAAACCTTCAAAGAAGAATTAACCCAAGTCTTTTTAAAACCCAGAAATTTCAATAACATCAACATAATATCCATAGAAAAACACTGGCACAAGGGTTATTAGAATGATACATAACAAAATGTACTTATAAATATATATTACCTATGATATTATATTACCTATAATATTTTGAGAAATTATTAAAAAATAGAACCTTGACAATAAAAGAAATAATTATTCAAAATGTCAATCTAAAAGTACAATTTGGAAATTTGCAACTGTTCTCTTATCTCTAGTAACAAAGAATACATTTTGTGTAAGAAAATGATTTGAATTCTATTGATTCTACCACTGACTTCAAAAATATCCTTCAACTCAAGAACAGATATTTGCCAACTATTATGGGGCTAACTTTTATGCACTCTTTCTATATCTAGGGAGTGTTAGTGATAATAAAATTCTTCACTTTGGGATAAGAATTCCTTACCCATAATTGAATTACTTCTTCCACAATGGAAATAGATAAGAGATTTGCAAACTGTATATATGATAAGGACTTAATAACCAAAGTATTTATGGAACTTCTACAATTCAGTAAAAATTGCCACCAAGTAACCTGATTAAAAATGGGCATAAGACTTGAAATTCTTCACAGCAGACATAGGAATGGCTCATAGTTATTAATCATTAAGCAAATGCAAATCAAATCCATAGAGAAATATTATCTCACATCTGTTAGTATGACTATTGCCAAAACAAAACAAACAACAACAACAAAAAGATAGCAATTGGTAAGAATGTAGGAGAACTGGAGCCCTTTTGGAAAGTAACATAGTACAGTCACTATGGAAAACAGTATGGAAGTTCCTCCAAAAATTTAAAGTAGGATTTTCAGATGATCCAGCTATCCCATTCTGGTACATATCCAGACAAATTGTAACCAGTACTTTGAAGAGATAAACTCTGTGTTCATTGTAGCATTATTCACAACAGCCAAGATACAGAAACAACCAAAATGTTCATAATAGATAAAACATGTGATGAATACACAAATTATTATTATTTACTTTTTTAAAAAGAAGAAAATCCTGATATTTAACTGAAGTGAAATAAGCCACTTACAGAAGGACAGATATTTCATGAGTTCATTTTATGAAGTATCTAAAATAGTTAAACTCATTCATTGAAACAGAATAAAACAGTGGTTTTCAGGGGCTGGAGGAAATAGGAAATGGAGAGCTGTTGTGCAGCTGATATGAAGTTTCAGTTATGCGAGGTGTGTAAATTCTAGCAATCTGCTCTTCAACATTTTGCTTATATTTAACAGTACTGTATTATCACTTAAAAATCTGCTAAGAGGGTAGATCTCTTGTTAAGTGTTCTTACCACAATAAAAAAATGAGAAAAAGACAAAGCATTTAAACAGGACAACTTTCTTTTAATCCTCTGGAGAAACAATGTATAAAGCTTATATGTGAATTTAGATGGTATGTCTCTTTGTTTGCCTATTGGGGCAATTTTATTTTATTTTATTGAAGTATAAATGACAAATAAAAATTATAAATATTTCACATACACAGACATGTTTTAATATTCCTATACACTGTGAAATGATTTCTATAATCAAGTTTATTAGCATTTCTATCACCTCACATAATTACCATGTTGTGTTGAGTATGTGTGTGGTTGAAACCAGAGTCTGAGATGAAACTAGATTTTCTAATTCTACTGACAGGTAGGGTCTGTGTAAACTGCAGGCCTCTGCAGCCAAGAACACCTGCTTTATCATTAGCAGCTGGTCACAGCAGTGGCTCCAAGGGTCACAAACTGACAAAGTCAGATTCTTCTCCACCACTATTGAGTGGTGTATTGCAGCTCTTAATGGCAGGTTATGCCCTGCAGTGTGTTAGCAGACCCCAGCAACTCACCTCCAATTTCTTTCTAGGTTCTCATCTTGCAAATTTGAAAAATGAAATCCACAGATAATAACGAAGCCAAAAGTGAAAAGAGTATGATTTATTTAAGTGAGAAGAAAGAATTTCAGGGCAAGAGGGGACCCACCGGGGGTTTCCCCTTAAATGTATTAGTCTAGGGGCTTATATAATTACTGGGTAGGGGCATATGTCTATATCTATGCTAATTAAATCTTGGAAAAGTACTTACACTATTGTACTATCTCATGATTTTCTGACTGGCTTTTTAATCCTTGAGTTTGAACTTTCCCTAACCTCCATTCAGGTCTGCCCCTATTTCTGTTTTTCACCTCTCCTAAAAAGTGGAATGTTTGAAGTGTTTCTATAGGTTAACCTTGTGCAATGGCCTAAACATAAAAAAAAAGAAAATCTTTAATTGGAATCCATTAATTGTCCTATCTTATTCATGATGAACAATTAAGATCCTCTTTAACAATTTTTACATCTCTGTGCTGTTTTTCATAATGGCTAAACTAATTTACATTCCCATGAAGAGTTTAAAAATATTCATTTTCTCTCCATATCTTCACCAGCACTTATCTTTTGTCTTTTTTTTTATAATATCCATTCTAACATGTGAAGTGATATTTTGTTTTTAATTTGTATTGTTATTATTGAGAAGATTAATGCAAGAGGCTTTTCCATCTATTTTCTTCTAGGTGTTTAGAGTTTCAGTTCTTATGTTTAAGTCTTTATTTTTAGTTGATTTTTGGATATAGTTTGAGAAAAAGGTCAAATTCATTCTTCTGCATACACATATCTGGTTTTCCCTGAAGCATTTATTAAAAGACTATTATTTTCTTATTGAGTGTTCTTAATACACTTGTCAAACTTTAGTTGACTATTAGTGTGTGAATTTATTTCTGGACACTGTTTTATGGGTATAAAATTGTGTTTTGTGCCAGTACCATTTTTTTAATTAATCAATACAAAATTATCAACAAAATACTAACAAAGCAAATTCAGTACATTAAAAGGATCATACAGTGCATGCTTTGGCAGCACATATATACTAATATTGGAACAATGCAGAGAAGATTAAAATGGCCCCTGCACAAGAATGACATGCAAATTTGTGAAGCATTTCATATTTGGTGGGGCATGGGAAAAATGGAGGAACTTTGATTGGGCAAATGGGAAGGAGAGGAGAGGAGAAGGCATGGGGGCAGGGAAAGATGGTGGAATGAGATGGACATCACTACCCTAGGTACATGTGTGCGACGCTACATTGTGTACAACAAGAGAAATGAAAAGTTGTGCTGCAATTGTGTACAATGAATCAAAATGCATTCTGCTATCATATATACCTAATTAGAATAAATAAATAAACAAACAAACAAATAAATAAATAAATAAATAAAATTTTTAAAAAGGATCATACATCATCGCTGGATGCAAGGATGGTTTCAACATAGGTAAATCCCTAAATAAAACATGTTAAGAGAGTGAGGGACAAAAGTCACATGATCTTGCCAATAAATATAGAAAATAGCATTTGACAAACTTCAACATATTTTAGTCAGATTTTACATCACTATAACCAAAGGAACGGACAAGAACAACATAAAGGAAGAGAAGTTGAGTTGCGTCTCACAGTTTCAGAGGTCTCAGTTCACAGACAGCTGACTCCATAGCTCTGGGTCCAAGCTGAGGTACAACATCAAGGTGGAAGGGTAGATCAGAGGAAAGCAAGTCAGTTCAGGGCATCAGGAAGCAGAAAGAGAACATTGTGCTCTCTAGAGACAAAATATATACCTTATAGACACATACCCCAAAACCCACTTCCTACACCCTACCTGCCTACAGTTACCACCCAGTTAATCCTATCAGGGTATTAATGCACTCATCAGGTGAAGGCTCTCCTAACCCAATCATTTTACCTCTAAACTTTCTTGTATTATCTCACACATGAGCTTTTGGGGGACACCTCATATCTAAACTATAACAAACAGCCTTTTACTATTAAAACTCTCAATAAAACTAAGTATAGAGGAATATAATTCAATATAATTAAAACCATATCTGACTAGAACACAACTATCATCAAACTCAGAGATGAAACTCTGAAGACTTTTCCTTTTAGATCAGAAACAAGACAAGGTCAATCACTCTCACTACTTCTATTCAGCATAGTCTTGGAAGTCATAACCAGAGCAATTAAGCAAGAAAAAAAAAAGTTTCACAAATTGGGAAGAAAGAAGTAAAATTTTCTCTGCAGATAACATGATCTTATGTATCAACCATAAAAACCAATAAATTCAGTATAGTTCATAAGACATGAAATTGATGAACAAATGTTATTTGCATTTTTGTACACTAACAGTAAACTATCTGAAAAAAAAATAAGAAAATAATCTAATTTGAACTCACATCAAAGATAATAAAATGCTTGGGAATAAATCTAACCAAGGAGATGAAATATCTATACCTGAAAATTATAAAATATTGGTGAAAAAAATTAAGATACAAATAAAAAAAATCTTATATTCATGGATTAGAAGAATTGGTATTGTTAATACGTCCATGTTATTAAGAGTGATTAATGGATTCAATGTAATCTCTTCCAAAATTCCAGTGGCATTTTTTCACTGAAATTGATGAAACAGTCCTCCACTGTTTTATCCGAATTAGTTTGAATGGAGCTTTTCACTCTCTACTTTGTGCCATGATTATTGTGAACATGCTTAATCTTTTAAGCTTTGAAATAACAGAGATGTGATCTGATTCCTGATTTTAACACTCAGTTCATGGCAAGCTCTTAATACACAGAAAAATAAGACACAGTCACTGTATTCAGTTTAGTACCACCCACCAAGTCAGTAGGGGATAAAATATTTGAAATATTCACAAGTAGTTAATAAGCTCAGAGAAGCTAAGCCAATCCAAGGGCAAAGATTTAATGCAGAAGATATTCCTGTAGATTTTAGCCAAATGAAGAAAGATTATAGGCAGGATGACTTTGTCATGGGCAAGAATATTGGGAAAGGTAGAGAGATGAAAATGTTCTTTTGAAGTGGTTTTGAGGAAGCTTATAAAATGTGAGGCAAGAGTACAAGAAGATAAAATTGGAAAGATGAGCAGGAACCAGATGGTGGGCACACAACCTCCTAGCTACCAAGCCAGAAGTCTTGGATCGCTATCTTAAAGACTGTGACTTTGGGCCATGCTATATGACCTCTATTTATATATACGGAGATACTGCTTACTTCAGATGATGTTTAAGAAAAGAAGTAACATAATACATGGAAGGAGCTTAATAGATGCTTGTCAGATAGCAGGCATTCAAAAGTGTTAGCTGTCTCCCTTTCTTCTGTTCACTTCATCTCTAAGTTATCCCAGTCCATGGGCATACTCTTTGAGACAGTGCTTTCTTCAGAGATGCTACACCTGGCTCTTCTCATTTCTGAGAATTTTGCTGGGGCTCCCGTCTGCTCTGGTAATCTTTCACCATGGGCACTGTGCCTTCTCCTATGACTTGGGAAGTGCAATTTCCCTTCAAGTACTTTCAGATCTACATGCTAGGCTAAGACACTCTTTAAGAAAGAATGCAGATAATATATTCTTCCATGGGTCATATTAGTCTTTCAAAGTCTTTGCTAGAGAAGTTTAGGGCTTTTCCTTTTTAAATTTCTGAGCTAAAATTTATATTAGTGATACCACACTGCTCTATACATTCCAGGACATGTATTTGGAATTTTTCCTAGTTCACTAGTTCCCTAAGTTTCTACTGCTCTACTTCTGTCCAGAAAATAAATAAAACTAGGGTACCCTAATGCCTCCTCTTCATTTAAGGACATTTGTCATTGGTTTGAAAGTCTATGTTCAGACTCACAAGCCTCCTCACCATTTTTCCCAAGGAAATGAGGGATGTTTGTGAAAATGAAATGTGTTACATTTTCCTTCTTTATGCTAGCATCCCTTAAGTGCATATGCCAAATTTATCTACTGGTCTGTATGTGCTACTCACTGTGCCTCACACATATTGTACATGTTCCATAGATATTAATATGAAAGAAAATAGAATGAACAAAAATTAAAGAATTAAGAAAAGAAAGAATGGCCAGTCATATACTAAGGTAGTCTGTAAATATGTTTGAAATGAATATAAATAATAAAATAGATACAAAGGTAATCCCCCCTTTTTAAATCAAAATTTAAATTATTTTGGGATTTAGACCTTGAAAATATGAGAAAAACTTTGAGCCAGTATCATCCAATTCCAACTCTCTTCATTGAAATGAACAATTTTATAATTAATAAAAACAGGACAATGAGGTACAAAAAAGTACATGAAGAAGTCAAAATAAAAGTTGTGTCTTAACAGTTAGGAAGTGATTTTCAAAATTCTGTATTATACAGAGATAAAAGGAAAAATAGAAACTTTTCATCAGCAAAATGTACAAAGAGTATACACCTGTGAGCCCTGATTAACCTACCTCGTGTTCCCCATCTGAACAGAGAACACACTAATTTTTGCAGATATACTCCATTCCGTTGCCCTTTACAGCCAATGAATTCAAAATCTGAAAATTAGATAGCTGCTTCTTCCCTGCCACGAACCTGCCAACGGTGTCATCAATTACTTTCACCCAGGGCAATGGCACAATAACTCTATTATAGTTCAGTCGAGATTGATAACATGAATCAGAAAGCTAGAGATAAAGACTTTAGACCAATGATTTATAGATATAGATTCATGTGTATTTTCCAGTATCCCACAATAATACATTATGCAGTTGGTATTTTTCTGTGAACTGTAGGAAGATATATCAGACCATACATCAGACATAGTGGAGCAATAGCCCTTTTGCTAAACATGAAATCATGATCCCATTTCTGTACTAAAACAAGATTCAGTGATTCTCTAGCAGCATTTTATATTTGGAAAGATGAATGAATGAAAAGAGATTATATACAATAAAATTAACCAGTGATAGATTGTTCACATGCACAGGTTTACTGAGAAAACATATTTTTAAGTAATCCATACCCTAAATTAACACAAAAATTCAGGAGACTAGACTGGAAAAGCAGGTATGAACTTGGAAGATCCAAAATGAAGAACTGTGAGTCAAAGTGTTCCTTACCTCTACTTTCAAGAGAGAAAATGAAGGAAAGATGTGTTATTTTAAAATCTATCAATCATGTATCCATTATCTATCCATCCATTGTCTATTTATTTATTATCCATAATTTTAATTAATGGGTTTCTGATGTTCACTTACTTCTCAAGAAAAGATGTCAGAATATATGAACATTGGAGTAAAATTACTGTAATATCAAAAATTGCCTTGGGGCTGGGGATGTGGCTCAAGTGGTAGCGCGCTCGTCTGTCATGCATGAGGCACTGGGTTCGATCCTCAGCACCACATAAAAATAAATAAGTAAAATAAAGGTATTGTGTTCAACTACAACTAAAAAATAAATATTTTTTTAAAAAATAAACTAAAAAATTGCCTTATTCTATTTACTTTGTATTCATTTTAGATCTTATAAAAAGAAATATACAAATGATATAATTATATTTAAAACCAATATAGATATACTTTTTTCCACTTTTATTAAAGATAATATATACACATGGAAGTGCATAGTTTGTAAAGTACTCATAGTCATACAGTGAACCTGGACAGAAATCACCAAATAGTCCAAAGTATTCTTCATTAAATACTTTATTCAAAGGATCAAAAACATCTCATTGTCTATATCTTCTAAGTAAATTCTATGTAAGACTTAGAAACTTCTTAAAACTTCATTGAGCATTCATATCACCTTATTTCACAATTTACCTTCATTAGATTTATTATTTCTTTAGGTTTCTGCAACAAAACCAATGGAATCTCATTGTTGAATTAGAAAGATATCATAGAACGAGGTCCTAATTGTATTAGCTATGCATATCTGCATAACAACATTACCATGAATTTAATAACTAAAACCTATATACACATATTACCCTAGGATCAGTGAGTCAAGAGTCCAGTGGAGTCTTCTGCACGGCAGCATCAATCAAGGTGGGAGATCAAACTGAGTTCTCATCCAGAGGTGACTGGAAAAGAGTCTACATTCTGGCTCATGAAGTTGGCAACATTTAG